TGATAATGCCTTGTGATGTCATTTTACATGATCCTGTATGAGTAATGAGTGTAGTGTCTCCATTTGGTAACTGTACACTTCTAGGTTTATCAGCAGACATTGGTTGTTTATGATCAAGTAAATCTGAATTAGGTGTCATATGATTTGCTGCTCCGGAGTCTAGAATCCAGTTTGACTGTGCAGAGCTAACTGTAAGTGCAGTAGCATTACATGTAGATGAATAGTGATCCTTAGCCAGATTTGCACTAGATGACCCTGAAGCTGAGGCTCCTTCTAAGCTGCCTTGTAAATTGGATTGACCAAGCATGTGTAAAATTTGGTTGTATTGCTCATGTATGACATTCATTCCTTCGTGATACTCAGTATAATCTGATTGTCTAGATCCTCTGCCATAGCTGTGAGCCCTTTGATTCATAAATCTGCTATATTCAGACTCATCATTGTACCTAGGAGGCTGATCAGATTCACTAACTGCATTGTGAGCAGCTGGATATGGACTCCTTTCATTATTGGATCTTCATCTCCCATGATTTGTGGTAGGAGTTCCTTTCTTCTTCCTTTCATAACCAGGTGGATAGCCATGAAGTTTATAACAAATAGCCTGTGTGTGTCCTGTTCTTTTGCAGTAGTCACAAAATGCATTTGGATCATAACTCGAACTAGATCTTGTCTTAGGCAATGGATTTGAAATGTGACCAGTAGTGAATAAGGCACTTAGCTCAGAAGAACTGGAACTACTGGATATTTGAGAGATGTTACGCTGATTCTCTCTTTTAATCAATAGAGAGTAGGTTTTGTTCAGAGATGGCAATGGGACCATCATAAGAATCTGACCTCTACCTTGCTCATATGAGTCATTAAGTCCCATGAGGAACTGAAGCAGTTTCTGATTATGCATAAACACTCCAAATTCTCTCGAATTAACACATTCACAGCTAGGAACAGGAGCTAGACTCTCATACTCTACCCATAACTCATGCAACTTAGAAAAATAGGTTGAGATTGAACTGGTACCTTGACTGATTGTTGCAATCTCCTTGTGCAATTGAAAGATACGCGATCAATCAATTTTGTCATATCTTTCACAAAGATCCTTTCACACAGCAGTAGCATTTGTGGAGTACACTATGCCTCCAAGTAATTCCTTCGATACACAATTCATAATCCATGAAAGTACTATGGCATTGCAGCGTTCTCATAGATTTGATAGATTTGGACCATACGATTCCTTTTTGCACGATCCATCGATGAATCCGAGTTTATTTCGACCTAGAATTGCAATCTTCATTGCTCGACTCCATACTGAGAAATTGTCAGATCCAGTCAGTTGTATTAAACTGAGTAGAACACCAGAATTGTCAATTGAATGCAAGAAAAGATGATGATTATGGCTCAGCTTTTCAGGCAGTTCATTGTCGACAGTTGCCATGATTCAGCAGAGATACTTCGAAGCAATACAGTAGTCACTGTAGATCAAGCTCTGATACCATACGAGTTCTTTTTTCTAAATAAAAAAATATTTAGACCCTTTAAAAGTGGAAAATAAATACCAATCGCCATATTCTATCTTGACCTCGTCTTATTACAGGTTTTATATCTTCATACATCACCAATCACAATAAGTTTCTTTAAATAATCACTCGATATATTAAAAGCTCACAAGTAATATTATTGACATTTTCATGAGAATAATTTATCATTTATGTTGATTAATATTGGTAATTGACGTGTGTTTCGATACACTTTTGGTGATAGTTCACGTAGAAAGCTCACATGCGTGATAATTCTGTTAGCTATCTTGAAGACGATAGCTTGATGAACACTTCGTATTACTTTGAAATGTTCTAGAAGCAGAGAGAGAACTCAGAGAATTAACAAATTATGAATTGTATTGATTGCTCACTAAGATATTCTGTACATGTATATATACAACAGAAGGAAAAGAATAAATTGTAACTACCCTAACTAACTACTTGATCACTAGTCCTCTAACTTCTAGTAATTACATAATGACCCAAACTTCCTATGTAATGCCTTCTTCAATAAATTCAACTATGAAACTCAAACAACTGCAATACTTAGGTGTGTTTTTGTTGTTTCATTCTTCAGTCTTCTTCCTCTTTTCTTTTTTCTTGAATATATATATATTTTTACAAGGAGAGGACTGATATGGTTATCATTATGCCAAAGACAGTTATTTTGGAGAACAAAAAGGGGGAAATCAAACACTATTTTGTAATAAATAAACATAGAAACAAAAATTAAAATGGAGAAACATGATTATCAAGGATACAAAATTTGGAAGAGGAATAACATAACAACAATAAAGCACTTATTTTGCAATAAAAACTGAAGAAGGCCAAAGCGGAAGCATTAGATATATGTAATTGTACGCCTAGATCGAATCCAGCATAGCACGTCTTCCTCGTGCCTCGATCTGAGCGCGAATTTGAGCTGCTATAAGCCGGTCATGATCATCATTCACTGAATTTATCATTTCCACCGCCTCATTGGCATGGGAATTCCAACTTGAATTTGAATTCTGACTTGGATTTGGATTTGGATTTGAATTTGAATTTGAATTTGGAATTGGACGGTGCTGTTTGGGGAAAACACCGACTTCAGGACTAGTTATTGCACAGTGCAAGTGTGACCCGAAATCACACCCAGCACAGTAGTACAACCAATCGTCCCTGTTCATTATCACATTGCACATATCACAATTGTATTTGATATTCTTATCTTCGTATGGAGAACCGAAGTGGAGCTCCAATTGATGCAGGTGGCTATTAACAAGTATGGAGCTAGGACTGGACGCACATTGCAAGTGAATATCAAATTCACAAGCAGCACAGCTAAAACAAAATCCATTACCAGCAGAGCCACAAGCCTTGCAAGTATAGGAACGACTCGAGTAAGACGGAATTTGGTGAAGGGTCAAGGGGTGGGAAGGATGAGACGAGTGATTGATAAAACGCGGAGCATTGAAACAGTTATCGTGGAGGAAATATTGGCAGGTGTTGCAGCCGTAGAAAGGCGTGTGACTATTGTTTGGTTTCTCACAGGCATTGCAATTGAGAGTTTCAGTTGGATTCATAATTAGTTTCAAGATGTGAGAATGACTGAAGTGTTGTTTATCTTGAGGTCCCGCATTTGTACCCCGGTTTTGTCTTCCCATTTTTTTTCTTGTAATTTTGTTGTGCAGTACTATAATGGAGAGTTAGCTTAGCCATCTGCAAGTGATGATTTATATTTATAGATATTTTAATTGTTTCCTTTGCTTACATATTTTCTTCTTTTGCTATAACAATTTGGCCAGTTGATTGACTAACTGGTATCCATTGTCTACGTACTAAAATGGGGCCGAGCATCTTCGTTTTTTTGACTTTGACTAAAATGGCTCCGAGAATATTAATACGTAATTCACAAGTCAACTGTGTTGAGGTTCATCGAAGTTCCGGCAGCTGACTTTTTGCTCATACAAGTTGGCATTTCATCAATCATTTTCCTAAGTAGTGCTGGTCGACTACCAGTTCATTCAGAGCTTGTTCTAATCTGCATCACACATTGGAGTCTGATTATTGTATCGTCTTAATACTAATCAACTTGTCAGGTGAATAATTATCTCAATTGAGATTTTTCGACATGAATCCAAATTTAGTCGTGAGCCCCAATATGTATATCAGATCCAAATTAAAAAAAAAGCAGCTCTATCTAGATTTATAGGTTGTCTCTGACATATAAACTGTGAAATTAAATCGACTGATTTCGGCAAATTGATAACTTTTGAAGTCAACTTCATTGAGGTTCATGGATGCATGTTACGGCAACAATCAACTGTTCGACTTTTTGATCTTAGCAAGTTGGCATTTTTATCATTCATTATCCTAGTGCTGACTATTGACTAATACTTAATTGAACGCGTTGGAGTTTGATTATGGTAGACCGTAGTGTCTCAAAATTAACTTGCCACACGAACAGTCATATATGTCCGCTTAATTTTTCTATTTACACTAGAGTAGATTGTTTATATCACATTGTTTCAAATGCAACTCTTTTTTTTATTTTTATATCATGTGTGAATATGAAATATTTTATGCATCGAGCTGCTCTTTCATGATTTTGCGAAGCCAAAATTTTAAGTTTATAGTAAGACTTTGGGATTTGGCTCCCCTCCATTTCGTCAAGTACACGTCTGGATGAGAGACATATGTACTATTTAATTGTTAAAGGTCAAGATTATATTGCATTAACTAGTATCATAACCATAGTTAAGTGAATAAGTTTTGAAAAAAAATTCTCTCCAAATTTAGTAAGAATAATTAATTCTTCTCAATTTTTCGTATCCATATATTTATATCATTAATTTTATTTTATATTTTTATATTTAAATATTAAAATTATGGAACATGAACTTAACAACGTTTAATTTGTTTAGCCTAACAGTAGTCTTACAAAATATTTTGCGTTTAAATTGATATTTTCTTTTATTTTATTTTTTAAAAAGAATTTTTTTTTATACTCTCACATTTGTAATTCTAATGCATTTTTTACTTCCCATTTTATATTATATGATTTCTATCATCAATGATAATTCTTCCTTTTATTTTTTAAATTTCTCAACCTAATATTTCAAGAATAAATTTGCTAGCATAGGAAGCGATTAAATAATGTACAATATTAATATTTGACTATAGAAATAAAAAATGAAATTAAACTGTTCAAAGATTTGTAGGAATATTTTTCTTGCCCAAGTTAAGAAATTATTTGTTCCAAAACTTATTCCTTAACTATGGTTATGATACTAGTTAATGCAACATAATCTTGACTTTTAACAATTAAATAATACACATGTCTTTCATCTAGATGTGTACTTGACGAAATGGAGGGAAAGGGTAATGGAGGGGAGCCACAAAGATTTATTGAGGATTATCTTGATTACATTTTTATGGAGTATGAGTGTGGCTTTCCAGTAAAAGAATTCCATTCTCATGATGTCAGTTTATAATCCATAAACATAGAAACCAAAACAAAAATGGAGAAACTTGATGATTAAAGATACAAATTTGAAAGAGAAATAACACGATAACAACAATAAAGCATTTATTTTGCAATAAAAACTGAAGAAGGCCAAAGCGTAAGCATTAGATATATGCAATTGTATGCCTAAATTAAGTCCAGAGCAGCCTCTTGTCCTCGTGCCACAAACTGAGCGCGAATTTGAGCTGCTATAAGCTGCTCATGAGCAGCATTCACTGAATTAATCATTTCCACCGCCGCATTTGGATTTAAATTTGAATTTGAATTCGAATTCTGACTTGGACTTGGATTTGGATTTGGATTTGAATTTGGAATTGGACGCTGCTGTTTGGGGAAAACACCGACTTCAGGACTAGTTATTGCACACCGCAAGTGTGACCCGAAATCACACCCAGCACAGTAGTACAACCAATCGTCCTTGTTCATTATCACATTGCACATATCACAATTGTATTTGATATTCTTATCTTCGTATGGAGAACCGAAGTGGAGCTCCAATTGATGCAGGTGGCTATTAACAAGTATGGAGCTAGGACTGGACGCACATTGCAAGTGAATATCAAATTCACAAGCAGCACAGCTAAAACAAAATCCATTACCAGCAGAGCCACAAGCCTTGCAAGTATAGGAACGACTCGAGTAAGACGGAATTTGGTGAAGGGTCAAGGGGTGGGAAGGATGAGACGAGTGATTGAGAAAACGCGGAGCATTGAAGCAGTTATCGTGGAGGAAATACTGGCAACTGTTGCATCCATGAAAATTAGGCTTATAGTTATTTGGTTGCTCACATGCATTGCAAGTGAGTGTTTCAGGTGGATTCACAATTGGTTTCAAAATGTGAGGATGGCTAAAGTGTTGTTTACCTTGAGATGTCGCATTTGTACTCTTATTCTGTCTTCCCATTGATTTTTCTTTCTAACTTTGTTGAAATCAGTAATCAATAAGACTATATAGGAGAGCTAGCAAGTTAATTTGTAACTTGTAATTGTATTTATAGATACTAATTCAACTATAATAATAAGTTAAGAACATGCCCACGCTGTTAATTTCCTTCGACGACTTTGCATTCATTTTTTTCCCCTTTATTAAGTCTGGTGAATAAATAATTTGGCAAGTTGTTGTTTAAATATCTGTAAGCATATTGACTGACTTAGCGCTGTTATCCATTGACTACTAAAATATTGGCGATCGAGAATCTTCGTATAATTTGACATACACTAAAATTTACCTTCTTTTTGGTTTTCTCAAGTTAATTTCCTTCCTCTCACTTCAAGTTTTATCTGATCAATAAGAATTGTGATGGAGTGATAAATATATATTAAATCTAATCTCAAGTTTGAGCATCGAGTATTGAATCACATTTGATGTTTAAGAATGTTTTATTCCAACCGTGAGTCTTCTTGACGCAGATCTAAATTTAGTCACAATTCAGCAAAGTGGTAACTTTGGGAAGTCAACTTTATTGAGGTTCATGGCTGTTACGGTAACGGTCCACTGTAAGACTTTTTGCTCTTTGCAATTTGGCATTTTTATCATGGGAAGTGCTAAATGATCAGAAAATTTGATCAGAAAATTTAAAAAACTAAAAGATTTTTTCCTTTCATCATTCATTATCCTAGTTTTGACTAATACTCCCTCTATCCCTAATTACTTGTCCACATTTCCTTTTTTAGTTGTCCCTAATTACTTGTCAATTTTGACAAATCAAGAAAGAACAATTTTTTTTACCTATCATACCCTCAATTAATTACTTTGAAACATGTAGAACTTCTTGAAAATATTAAGTTTTTAATTTATCCACTTCATAATTAATAGAGGTAAAATGGTAAACTCACTATGTCAATTATTAATTTTTTTAATAGGTGTGTCAATTCAAAAGTATACAAATAATTAAGAATAGAGAGATTACTTTTTTAATTCATTTTAGTTTGATTATCGTAATGTCTCTCCACACGAAGAGTCATATATGTCTGCTTGGTTCTCATTTTTGCATTATAGTAGGTCGTGTAATATCACCTTTTTTGGGATGCAACCCTTTTTTAATTATGTGTGAATACAAAATATTTTGTGTATTGAGCTACTCTTGATTCTCAAGCTTTTGTCAAGTTTTTCTAGTCCGAAGTTAAAAGGATCATTTTTTTTAGTGATAATTCACATATAAAACTTATACCCTTGATAATTGAAATTTTTTATTATGTATGAGGCACGCCATGTCATATTTGTATGAGGCATTGTTTGATTGACAGATGGACATGGATGGGACCCATTTGTCAAGCTAATAAAGGGACATTTTAAGTCCCCTTTGTCATTTTTTTGGTTTTATTCCCCTTGTTCAATATATTTTGTGTTGTAATCTTTTTAATATTTTTTTCTTCTTTAAGATTAAGTTGATCAAATCTTTTAAGAATTTTATTTGCTGATTTTATTAGTTTATGCTTTTCTTTTTTTACGTACTGAATTCTAATTTTAATTTTACGATCATTATATAAGTTTTTAGTTTATTATTTTAATATTATTTTTTCTATTCTATGTTATTTATTCTATTATAATAAATAGTTATTTGAAATTTATTTTTTAGTTTATAAAATCAAGATATAAGTAATTTTTTTAATCCTAACAATTAATTTTTAAAAAATTAATTTTGTAAAATTGCAAAAATTCTATTAAGGAATAAATTATTAAAATTATTATTTATATTTATATTTCTTAAGAAACGTATGAGAAAAGTAGATAAACAATATTTATTAAATTTCACCTAGCTTGAATTTTAAGAATAAAAATATCTTATAAATTGACAAAAATAATATGTATTTATGTTGATGTTTATGGATATTTTTCGTTTTTGAATTTCATGACAATAGTATCAGAACTTATGCAATTGTTTGTCAAGATCATTGATGTTCTTTCCGTTATATTTACTTATGAGAAAACATCCAAATGCCCCCTCAAGCTATGAGTGAATTTCCAACTACACACTTATTCTTTACGGGGGACCTATTACCCCCTTGAACTATTTTAAACCGATCAAGTAACCCCTTTAGTGCTGACATGGCATAGAGTGCATTTCACTCTCTTTTTGAGAGAGTGAGAAGCAAAAAACAATTAAAAAGAATATTTTCATTATAATTAAATTGTATATTTTTTTTTATAAGAAAAATTTACCCTTTTAATGGAGGGAATTACTTTCTCTTTCACTTCTATGGGAGAAGAAGATAGCAGTCCCAACATTCCGATCTCTGATAGATGATAAATCCTCATATTTGACAGAAAAACTCATTGAACGAGCCGGCGATGAGGAAGAAATAATCACCGGAAAAGATGAACTCACGGACAAATTTGAAAATTTATTCTTGAGCTTCAAAGCTCTTTAATAATGATTGTCCATGGATTTGTATTTCCTTCTTATTTGTTTTTTTTTTCTTTAACTCAAATCAATTGATCTAAATGTTTTCAAACTCAAGAACTCAACAATGGGATTCCCATAAAGGATTCAATTTAGTCTCTACAATTTGTAATTGAAAATGAAAATTTTCAGATTTGGATTCAAACGCAGCAACCCACAAATTTTTTTATATTTTTGACAGCTTTGTAGGTCAGTGTGGTTTTCTGATTTTTGTCTTAAATCTTCACACCTAATTCGAAATCAATTAACAAGTAATGTGTAGATTCAATACACCAAACCCAATCACATTCACAAACTTCCAAGATTTGCACAAATTCGATGAACACAATGAAGAACAATAGTTTTTTTTTCTTCAAATTTTAAGAAATTAATAAAACCAAGAAAACAATTGAAGATTTATGGCAAGTATATAGAAATCTATAGTTTGAAGGATCAATTTGTATATATATAGATTACAAATTTTAAAAGAAGAAGAAAAGAGGTAAAATAGAATAAAGATGAAAGGAGAATCTAATTTTTATTTTTTTTTAAAATTATTATATATGTCTGACAGCTGGCAGTGTGTGTAGTTGGAAATTGGACAATAGATTGGGGGGTCATTTGACTATTTTCTCTGAAGAGTATTCGTGGATTGAAGTGCTTTTGGATTATGAAATTGTTGAGAGAAAAATAAAATAACTTATTAAATTTGTACCTTCTTTATTTTTCATAATAATAATCTACTTTTCCTTATACAACTTTTGTCTGCCACATCATACTTATGCCTTATGCATGGTAAAAAAATTCCTTGATAATTAACTCAAAAATAGCGCAATACTTAGGTGTGTTTTTGTCGTTTCAGTCCTCAGTCTTCTTCCTCTTTGTTTTCTTGAATCTATATTTTTACAAGGAGATGACTGATATGGTTATCATTCTGCCAAAGACATTAATTTTGGACCCAAGAAAACAGAACAAAAAAGGGGAAAATCAAACACTAGTTTATAATCGATAAACATAGTAACCAAAACAAAAATGAAGAAGGCCAAAGCGGAAGCATTAGATATGTGTAATTGTATGCCTAGATTAAGTCCAGAGCAGCCCGTCTTCCTCGTGCCGCTATCTGAGCGCGAATTTGAGCTGCTATAAGCCGGTCATGATCATCATTCACTGAATTTATCATTTCCACCGCCGCATTCGCATGGGAATTCCGACTTGGATTTGAATTTGGATTTGGACGCTGCAGCTGTTTGGGGAATACACCGACTTCAGGACTAATTATCGCACAGTTCAAGTGTGAAGCGAAATCACACCCACCGCAATAGTAGAACCAGTTGTCATTGTTCATCATTACAGAGCAGATATCGCAAACATATTCGCTATCCTTAGGATAACCGTATTGGATCTCCAATTGATGCGTGTGTTTATCAACAAGTATGGAGCTAGGACAGGATGCACATTGCAAGTGTATATCAAAATCACAATCAGCACAGTTATAGCAAAATCCATTTCCAACAGAGCCACAAGCATTGCAAAAATAGGAACCACTCGTGTAAGACGGAATTTGGTGAAGGGTCAATGGGTGCGAAGGATGAGACGAGTGATTGAGAATACGCGGAGCATTAAAGCAGTTTTCATGGAGGAAATATTGGCAGGTGTTGCAGCCGTAGAAAGGCTTGTTAGTATTGTTTGGTTGCTCACAAGCATTGCAAGTGAGAGTTTCAGTTGGATTGGCAATTAGTTTCAAGATGTGGTCATGGCTGAAGTGTTGTTTACCCGCATTTGTACCCCCGTTCAGTCTTCCCATTGTGTTTTATTTTTTCCTTTGTAATTTTGTTGTGTAATATACTCCTGGAGAGTTAAGTAACTGCATATTTATAGACATTTCAATTAAACTATATGATACAATAATTTTGCGACGTTGTTTCGTTTGGACGACTTTAACTTCGATGCATATTTCCTTTTTCTTTTACCAACTAATAAGTCGTCTCCGACATTAACAACTAGCTGCTATACATTGTCTACGTACTAAAATGGGGACGAACATCTTTGTGTTTTGACTTTGACTAAAATGGCGCCGAGCATCTTAATTTGTATAATCGTATTCACAAGTTAACATGACCACATTGTCTCCTTCCACCACTTTGCATTCATGTTTTTTCCCCTTTATTAATAGCAACAATTTGGCCAGTTGCTATTCAAAAGTATATCTGTAAGCATATTGACTTGCTTGGCGCTCTTATCGAATGGCTACTATAAATTAATGGCGGGCATCTTCCTATAATTTGACAGCGTCTAAATGTTGCCCTTCTAAATACTCCTTTTTTTAGGTCTTGGGTTCGAGCCCTGCAAATAGAATCACCTTTAACGTTTGAGAATATTTTGTCCTAAACATGAGATTTTTCAATGTGAATCCAAATTTAGTCATGTGGCGATTGGATTATATATATATACACACACGTGGTCGTCTCTGTGATTAAACTGTAAAATTGGATCCACCAAATTCGGCAAATTGATAACTTTGGGAAGTCAACTGTATTGAGGTTCATGGATGTTACGGTGACAGTCCACTGTTAGGCTTTTTGCTCTTTGCAAGTTGGCATTTTCATCATTCATTATCCTAGTGTTGACTAATACTTTTAAATTCATTTTAGTTTGATTATCGTAATGTCTCCCCACACGAAGAGTCATATATGTCTGCTTGATTCTCAGCTTACATTAGAATAGGTTGTCTATATCATATTCCATGGAATACGGCCCTTTTTCAAGCTTCTCAAGTTGATTCTCATCCCTTAATTCTTTTAACCTTTTTGGTGTCGTGATTTTTCGAAGCCTGAATTTGTAGTTTGTAGTTTTGGATTCTAATCTTATTAAATTATATTAGATTCTAAATCAATTATTTGCACACATGCAATGAATTTTTAGAACAAATAATACAGAGTTTGAATTAAAGTTACTTATTGATAAAAAATATAACCGAAGTACTCTAGCTTCGTCCCTTCTTAATTATAATATGGCAAAAAACTGCACTTTTAACCCTTGTGTTATAGGGCTAGTCCATATTAGTCCTACTGTTAGTTGTTCGCACAAATCGTGTTGGAACAGTACTGTTGCGATGAGCGTCGTTTACAATTTTAAAAACTAAGGCTTAAAGCATAGGCAAATTGTGAACTTAATCTTATTATTCTACGCCCAAGTTCAAAGGCACCTATTTGATTCATTTATCAACCAGGGCAGATGCACGATAGAAAGGGTCACTAATTTTGGCTTAAACTTCGTAGATGTGTTTAAAAATCTACCAAATATATGTAAATATTAAATTTTGATAAAAGATGTACTTGTGTTATAGGGCTAGTCCATATCTCATTTTAATTCAACTAGATGATATAACTTGGCGACGTTGTTTCCTTTGGACGACTTTGCTTCGATGCATATTTCCTTTTTCTTTTACTAACTAATTAGTCGTTTCCGACATTAACAATTTGGCCAATTGATTGACTAACTGGTACGTACTAAAATGGGGCAGAGCATCTTCATATTCACGAGTTAAATGTGTTGAAACAATCAAGATTGTGATGGACGGGTAAGTACTCCTTCATCCTTAATTAAATATCTCTTGAATAAGAAATCACCTTTATTAGAGACCGTTTTATCCACAATGTGAAATTTCCCGTATCTGGATAGAAAAATATAAGGTAATTGTGTTGAGGTTCACCGAAGTTTCGCGGTAGACTTTTTGCTCTTTGCAAGTTGGGATTTCATCGAGAAAATGATCAAAATGGTCCTTAGAAGGATTACTTTATTTTGATCCTTAACATATTCCACATGATCTATATGGTCCTTAAGGTATTATAAAATTATTATATTCTAAATTGATAATTGTATACATACAATGAATTTTTAGGACAAATAATATTGAATTTTAATTTAGGGAAAATGGTCAAAAATATCCCTCAACTTTGGTTTATTAGTTGACTATCCCCTTACCGTTAAAATGAAGTTATTCTTACCCCTGCCGTTATTAATTGCATCATTTATGCCCCTATGTTGACGGAAATTCCCAAATTGACTTAAATTAACCCGAATTCTTTTAAATAACCCATTCCCCATTTTAAATCCATGCACTGACCAGTCTAAAAACCTAACCCAATAAATATTTAACCTATTTTCCTTACCCATTCTTTCAAAAGATCTCAAATCCCACAAGAAATATTTAGCAGTAAATAAACCATTGTCATTAAGGATCACTAAAGTCTCATATTCATTTGTTTTTGTAGAAGTACCAACGAAAATGATCCTAGTCTCATATTCATTTGTACGGATGCGGCTCTTGTCCAGTGCCTTTACCATCCAGTTGGTTCGGTCCCCCTTTAATCTGCTGCCATTTGTCACATAATGATGTCAATAATTATTTAACCAAAACAATCTCTTAATCCATGGTTAAGCTACAGTTGTTTTCTTTTTTTTCAACTTTTTTTTTCACGTTCTTTCCAAAAATCATTTAATTTCCATCACAAACCCAATTTCTTTCAAACTAAAAACTCCATTATTTTCATATTATTTAATGACTCTTCCCAAATTTCTCTATACATTCAACTTCTTAACAAAATTGAAGTGTATTACAATGGCCACAAGAAATTTCTAAAGCTAAATAATATTATTGTTCTTGTTTTTCGCTATCAGACGGTTAAGAGAGAGTAAGAGATTTCTTCCATTATTATATAGGTGTTCGTTAATACGAGATGAAAAACTGTATAGTAACTTAGTTTTTCTCAGTTAACCAAGAACACGAAATTATTGTTTCTCAACTACTAAGTGCAAATAGCTTCTCCCCATTTACTTTCACTCTTATCACTTTTTAAGGCGTAAGCAATACAAGCCAAAATGCACCAAAAGAAATGACTTTTGACAATCAAATAAGCAACACAAAATTCAAGCCAAATACACCAAAAGAACTCTCTGTTATTGCCTCCCAAATCTCAATTAAATTATCAATTGTCAATATGATGACAATAAGCTGCCACAAGATTGTTCCAAAAAAAATAAATAACTGTTGGGAAAACAAATTTCAACAACCACGAGTGGGTTATGGCCTTGACGCCAAAAAATGGAAAGAAAAAACTTAATTCACAGATGCGAAAGTCAATTGCACACTGGAATAAAGTCTATGAAAGAAAATAACAATGCCAAAGAAGTACACATCTCAACTTTGAGATCATGATTATGATCACTTAAATCACCATCACCATGTAACCTCTGCTTTGATGAAGGTGCCGCAATCAATGTTGAGAATACTTGTTAAAATCAGGAAATGAAACATCCTGCAATTGATATATTATGTGGCGAATAACATCACTTATTAGAAATATACATATATATATGCAAAGTATTAAAAGTTCTGTTCACTAACTCTTGAAGAGTTGAGTCAAACTTTCATTAGATGAATATCCTTGAGACAACTGAGAAGGACACAATGGACGAAAGCTTCCTTCTGTCACGTCCTATAATTTAAAACATAACATAAGTTTCACATTATTATAATAAACAAGAAATAAATGAGATGTCGTGAGATACCATAGCGTTTGATGTATCTAATAAAGGTGTATAAACTTTTGGATCAATGTCTTTTTCTTCTAGAATGGCATCCATCTTGTTTATATTTGTAACATCTTTTGTCCACCTCTTTAGTATATATTGTATGGGAATCCTATCCTTTATATTCAATGTGTCCAGGATCTTTAAAGCATGCCTACATAGTATACCCAAAAATTCAATCAATTTACAGCTGCAAGAAATTTGAGTTATTGATCTCTTAACAGTCACGACATACTCCTTAACACTTCCAAGCGCGCTAACATTATTATAGGTACATAACTCTCCTTCATTATAGGAGTCATTTACTGAAATCAGTAATGACCTTTCCCATTCACTTTGGAACATGTCAAATATATATCGTTGGGGTGTATACTTCCCTAGAATGAATCAATAAAGGAAGTTTAACCTTCAAAATAGGTATTCTTTGAGTCATGTCAAAATTAGACTTATTCTCATTGGTGCGCTTTGATCTTTCAAAATGCTTAAAAAATTGAACAATATCCAAATCTGATTTCAAATATCCTCTTA